AAGTGAAAACAATGACCCGACATTTACTTATTAGAAAAAAAACACTTTTTTGCTGACTTTTTTATTTTGGTGTGAATATTTATTTCATGAGGTCATTTAGGACCTGTACACTTGCCAACTCAGATTTTTTATGCACCAAAGCAACAATGAACATGAGAGCAAAATAAACGTCATCGTATCTCGGTTGGTTTACTTCGTGACTGGCAGCAGGCCTCCGGTCTGTCCATCTTGTTCTGCATGTGCCGGTTTTATTTACTAACCTGAAGCATGATATTCTCACCAGCACCAGAACACTCTTGTTTCCTAATTGTTCACAAATGAATGAGATGCACTGACATTTTTCCCATCAGTCATTTTAACTTGTCATAGCAGGAAAATCAAAGCTGGAACTGATGACACTCATGATGCCTTTATGTAAACAGTTGTTGCAGTTTAATGCAGCAATGACTAAATTATTTGTTACACCAGTGTATAACTGCAACTATTACTTCCTTATTTGTGGATTAATTGTGTTGTGCAAATGCATAATTCCCATTATTCAAAGTGGAAATCGTGTGTCACATTTCAGGATTTCAGCTGTGAAAAACGTCTTTATTTTTTATTTTCACTGTTTACTCAACAACCAGTCACAATCACCTCCCAGTCTGTAAAACTTGCAATCTGCTCATTTAAATCAAATCCTAATTGGTCAGTTTGTACCTAATTGATTTTTATATCCTTGAAGATAAATGAGGAAATGCTTTTCTGTTAATAATTGGAGTAGATTTCCTCTAAACGCCATAATAAAATGATCAGAGGACCTACGGTATGTCCTGTTAATATCAAACATGTGTTATAGGTCACCTTAAATAATTTATACCACCGAAAATGATTGATTATTATTGGTTGGACGGCAACTTTCATTGACCTCATATAACCAGACCTGCGGAGCTGAAGTGTGTGGCTCTGAATTAATGAGCTTAATTAAATTGATTAAACTGTTATAAGCAGCAATAGTCACTCTTTTCTAAAGAGCCTGCCACAATGAGGTTATTTAGTAACCACCTCCAATGACCTAAAATTAATTTAAAATGCTTCTCAGTGAGAATCACAGAGGTTTCATTTCAAATATGTTTGCTATTTTGACATCCAAGCAGTTGTAGGAGGGAAGAGAGGAATATTTTTAAAATGCTGCAGTGAAGCTGGCTGTTTGGTGACTCATCATCACATTAACTCATATTGAGGCTATAAAGACGTATTTAAAAGGTTAGAACCGCTCATTACATGGTGAATGTGTTTTTATGTAAGGTAACATGAGGCCAGGGATTTCTGAATATGAAAAACTGATTTGATTTGTCTTTGGTAAATTATGTTTTATAATGACACTGCTAAAGAAACTATATTTTGTACCTCATGTGGATGGTTCATGTGTGGGTGATGACAGTAGATCAGATCCGAAGTGGTGTAAGAAGGAAACATTTTGTTTTTTTTGTATGTTGTGTGTAAAGTTGAAATATCGAGAAAACATTTGAAATGTCAAGAATAGTGTTGAAATGAGAAGAAAGTCAAACTAAATCTGAGAAAGTTTCTTTTTTATTTTGTGAGTAAGGAATATATGTATATATATATATATATATGCAGAAATGTTTGACTTTAATCTTGAAATTCAGACACTTTTTGACTTTGTTCTTGAGGTGCAAAAAAATTAAAGAAAAATTCTGATTTTGTTTGACTTTTTTTTTGTTGTCGTTTTGACTGTCATTTCTGGTTTTATGCCTTAACTCTCCTCTGTAGATCTGTGCCTCCTTGATCTTTTCAGCTCAGACTTTTGGAAAACCGCTGAGTCATCCCCTAAGTGCACATCCTTTCCTGCAAAATAAAGATCTGATTTGCAGATTTCTCGTAGCTGGAGTGATTCAGGTTTGCGCCTTGTTAATTCTGGTGCCATCTCCAAAGTTCATGCTCCCTCATCCATGCTGTTATATATTAATACTTTGCAATTATTGGGAATATGAGGTCTAGCTGCAGCAGGGGAAGGGCAGATGGTGGAGTTCACAGTGTTTACTGTCACATTTTGGCTCCCGTCACACTTGGCTTGCTTTTTCCGAGCTGTAATTCTGAAGACTGGATTCTGTAATGTCAGAGGATTGTGCACCCATGCACGTGTCTCCTCACAGGGATGGCTGCGAAGCTTCTCCTGCCATTGACTTTGACTACGTTGTTGTTTTCTTTCTCTTCGTCTCCTCCCATCGCTTGTTTGTGCCCCATTATCATCGACAGACGTTTGATGTTAACATCTGTGAAAATATCTTTTTGCTCCCTTTTCTAAATCTAGGTCATATAAATCATGAATCCAGATGTAAAATTCAACATGTCCTGTTGTGAATCAAAAGTTGCATCAACTTTAGCCTTTGTTTTGTGACACACCCGTCAGTGGTTATGATGTGCTTTGTGCTCTGACACTAGAAAAGATGACAGCTATGTAGCCACCACATATAAAACACTGCCTGTCTGCAAAATATGTCAGAAGATGATCTGAACTGTGCGCTGTTTTCTCCTCCCTATATTTTTCAAGTACCTTCTCTCCTGGCGACGCCTCGTTATTGCTGTTTGTTGCTTTTTCTGATTTATTCCAAGCGTAGGCAG